TGCTCTAATATAATATTTTATTACAGTTTAGATTTGATTAACCATGCCTTTCCATACTTCTGAGGGCAAAACAAGGCAAGATATCACCATATTGAAAAGCACACTGAGATCACAACTCATGAATCCATGGTAAAGATGTTACAGATTAAGATACTAAGCCATTCTCTTACTTTATGCCATCTAAAATTCACTTCATACTTGTTTCATTTTGTACAAACTTATTTCTTATATTCAATCAATGTGATTACTAGAAGACCGGTTTCATAATTTGCATGTTCGTAAGTAAATGAGAACACAAATGTATGCACTAAAGCTGACTGAGCTCATTTTATGCTTCCTACATTGGGAGCTTCCAGAGAAAAGTGGTTGTAATAAGTCATGTGTTCAAATACCCAACCGAATAAGGGGAAATGACTAGAAATGGGAAGCCAATAAAGGCATCGGGACCACCTTGAGAATGACTCAGAAAAGGCTTCAAAAGGGATCTTTTATAATGGCTCCAAGAAGTACAACCATCCTTCAGCTAAGCTTGTTCTGAACCAGGCATGGACGCTTATATGATCACCGTCATGACCCCCTCGGTTCAAGTCTTCATCAGTTCTCTCCTGGTTTGTTATGAAAAGCCACTACCTTAAAAATGGGCAAATGATTTGAACAGGCATTTCACCGAAGAAGACAGACCGTGACCGGTGAGCACGTGAAAAATGCTCAACATCATTAGGCGTCAAGAAAATGAAAACTGAGACCACAAACGAGACACCACTTCACACCCAAATGAAAATGAGAAACACTGCCAGCACCCAACGCTGGCCAGGATGGGGAGCAAGTGGAAGTCTGACGCACGGCTGGTGAGAGTGTGAAGCCACGCAACCACTTTGTAGAACCGTTTGGCCGTTTCTTACAAAGTCAAACATAAACTTGCCTGTCTCAGCGAATCCTCTGCTAGGTATTTACCCAAGAGAAATAAAACATATGTCTACAAGAAGACTTGCATGAGAATGTTCATAGCAACTTTATTTATCATAGCTAAAAACTGGGAAACATCCAAATGTTCATTAGCAGGAGAAACGACAAACAGATTGCTGTTTATCCATACAATGAAATATGTCTCAGCAATAGAAAGAAAGAAACTACTGATGAATCGTGAAGACATATGGTGAGCAAAGGAAGCCAGACGGTTACTTACTGTATATGAAGTTCAAATACAGGCAAAACTAATCTATGGTGAGAGACATCAGGATGGAGGTTGCCTCTGGGAGGAGGGATTGACTAGAAAGGAAGTTACTCTGGTTTTGGAACTATTTTCTATCCCATTTGTATGACAAAACCCATAGAACCAAACACTTCAGAACTGTTCATTTTCTCGTATTTTAGTAAAAAAAAATTGTACAGAATACATTATTGTTTATATTTTTCAGTAATTTTACTGTGTACTTAGTGAGGTGCAAGAATCAAATTTTTCTTAAATCCAAAAAGTTTTTTCTATCATACATTATTACTTCTTTTCCATGGGTTCTAATCTCTTCCACAGAAAATCCAATTACTGTACATTTTTCACATTCCCCAAGGCTCGACTTTTTGTCCTTTCCATTTGCATTCTGAGAGGACTTTTCAGTTGCTTCTTCACATCACAGATGTTCACTCTTCTCTTGACTGATTCCACATGCAGATTTTAATTCTGAAATTTCATCCAGCATCTCTAATCATATGCCCTCAGTGTGGGCAGCTCCCTTTCTATTTCTCCTGCTGATGCGGAAATGAAAAACACAGGCTTTGAAATCTCTCAGAGCTTGTTTGTCAATATAGGATCCAGCCTATATGTATAACTTCAGGCAAGTGAATTCGAATTAATAAGCCACTTTTTCTCACCTGCAAAATGAGGACCTTAGTGGTAATGACTTGGTGGTGTTGTAACAGTTTCGTGAGATGACGTCTGTACAACACTTAATACAGCTCAAGGCACAGAGCACTGAACAGCTCTCAGCCTCCATCATTATCAGCTCACCATCAGCATCGCCATCGCTATGACCGCCGTCCTCTTAGCAACCGCATTTTCGCTTCAAGCTATTAACTACTCACCTTCAAAGTGTTTTACACACTGACTGACACATGGTAGACATCCAGTGAACATCTGTTGAGGAAACAGATAAATTTACTCCTTCATTTTACCATATACCCTGATATTATACTGTAGAGTCATTATGTTTGGTTGTCAGTGAAACTCAGTTAATGCAAAATTTGGTCTCAAAACAATGAATCCATTTCTTTACCCAGAAAAATATTGTTACAATGTTAACTCAAAAAAAAATTGAAGTACAGTTGATTTACAGTGCTGTCTGTTACAATGTTAACTTGACAGTGCTTCAATAATTATCATGTCAGGAATGGGAAACCAATCTCATGTTAAATTTTTATTCAGACATGCATTATGACAATACCATATTAGAATTAATTTTCATGAAATAGGAATTTAGGGGGAAAGCTTTGTATCAATAAGTCATTAAAATTTTATTTATTTCTTAACGACGTTTTAAAACTTATTTTCTAACTTTTGTTTGCTTTTTCTTTCATTAAATCTTAATCTTGAAGAGAGAATAAGGAAAGGCCCCCAAGTCTCAAAGTTTAAGTAAATCCCAACCTCAGGAGGATAAGTACATCTCAGGTCTTAATTTTCCAACTCCAACCTGAATGTCCAAATGTGAGCTTTCATCCTCTGTGGGCAGGACACATCAAGATCTCTCCCCTTAGAGTTCGATGTATCAGTTGAAGCCCTAGGTCATTTCAAGCGCTGCACTTTGGACCATCACTACCAACGCCCCCAGCACTGGGACTGCTTGTCAGGGTCAGCTGAAGACCAGGCTTTGGTACAGCCTGTTGGGGTTGTTCCAGTCCCCCTCTGACCACTACAGGCACCATCACCAGCCAGCCAAACCTAACACTGCACTCAGGTTTCCCCACACCCGTCACACCAGCATCTCTCTCTGTCCTGTAGCAGGTGACACCATCCTCAAGGACACCTTTACCAGCACTCCCTCCCTCTCCAACACTTTGCCAACCCCGTTGCTGGGTCCACGTGGTCTGGATCTCGCCCCCTCTGTCTGCTTTGGGTAGGGAACTGAACTGCAGGGACTGTTCCTGTATCTCATGAGCATCCTTCTATTCTCGTCACCTCCCCCGTAATTCAGGCTCCTAGGTATAGTGTTTCTTTTTCTCCACTAGCCCAACACAGCCCTAGCTGTGTGGAGTTGATACAGATTCCCTGTGATGATCTCATCAAGGCCTCCCTATGTTCCAAACAGCTCTGATCACTGGGTGTATGAGTTACCTATTGCCGCATGAAAAATTATCCCCCCTACAAACTTATGAACTCAGTTTCTGAGGGTCAGAAATCCAGGAGCGGCTCATCTGGATGGCTCTGACTCAGGGTTTTGATGAGGCTGCAGGCAAGCTGTCAACAGGGACTGCAGTCGCTGAAGGTTCGTCTGGGGCTGGAGGTCGTGCTTCTAAGCTCACCCATGTGGCTGTCGCAGGAGGATTTAGTTTCTTGCTGTGTGGACCTCTCCAAAGAGTGTTCATGACACAGCTTCCCCCAGAAGAAGAGATGCAGAGAGAAGCAAGCATGGCCAGATGGGAGCCACAGAACCTTCTACACCTCATCTCCAAAGTGACTTCCCTTGACTTCTGCCATATTCTGTTCATTAGAAGGAGTCACCAAGTCCAGCCCACACTCATGGGAAGGAGAATTAAGCTCCATCTTTTGAACGGAGGAATACCTAGAATTTTTGGATACATTTTTAAAGATCACCATTTCAGATTAACACACGTACCTCCTCAGGTGTATGATAATACTATCAAGTGAACTCACAACGTGTGAGCTTATGTCCTTCCCCAAAATGTGAGATTCCAATATGAAAAACCCACTCCTCAGACCTGGCCCTGCCCCGGCGTGCGTTCACTGCTTTTCCATCCCCTGCTCCATCCTGGTGGCTCTTTAACGTGACACAGGTGGGCCCCTGACACAGCAGGAGTAATGAATTACCTCCACACAAGAGGGAGAGCACAGGAGGAAGGCCTGGAAAGGGGGAACAATGGTTTATTTCTCCAGGCGGCAGGATGGATGAACTCCTGGTCCACAGAGTGATTCATGGCCCTGTCACAGCCTCACTGATCTGGAAAGAAAATGAGGTCTCTTAACTGTCTAGAAAGCGAGGCTTTTTGGATGAGGGTCAAACCCAACAGAGTCAGGCTGTCTTGACAAGTCTGAGGTGTAGTTGAAGGAATTGTACAGCCGGTCTCAGAGCTTTGACGGGGATTAGGGCAGCTCGAGTTCTTTTGGAAAATGAGGACAATTTACAAACACAAATATTCCTATATTTGCATGTCTTCTTCCTGCTGAAACGATTCTTTCCTTGTCATCACAGCACACTGTGCAAGGGGTAGCCCTTCTCCTCGCAGCAGGAGCGCTGACTTGTGGTTTTATTAGGATGCATCCTGGGAGACGTCTTATCCAGCCTTGCAGTTGCCAGAAGAAGTTAAATAAGGTTAATAAAAATAAGAGGGTTTATATGAAGTATGTGCCGGAGTTACGGTGGAACAATGTTTTCCGAAGTACATTCCATGGAACACTGGTTCCAGGAGTTACGCCATGGGGAGAAAATTGTGTGATGCAATAAGCACATGAAAGATTGCGTATAGCATGTTCACTTAGAAATGAGTCATTACATTAGTGTATCAGGGCACATGAACACTCCTGCAGCAAAAAGTTCTTCTCCTTCTCCTCTTCCTCCTCACTGTTATTACTGTTATTAAACTCGATTTAACCCAGTATTGCCAAGATACCTTTTTCTATGGAAGCACATCTTCTGTAGAATTTATGTGACTTTAAATTTTTAAATATATGTTTTTAATTAATTAATTTCTAACTAATTTGCATTGTTGTCAAAAAACACGATCTGTATGATGTGGGGATTTTTTGGTTTGTTTGTTTTGAGATTTTCTTTATGGTCAACTTTTGTAGATACTCCACTTGTATGTGAAAAGGATGTCGATTTCCCCGCAGTTGAGTGCGAGGAGGAGTGTGTATTTCCCCGGTGCTGAATGCCTGTTGAGCTGAGGTTGGTAAATAGTGCCGGACAGATCTTGTCTACCTATACTGATGTCTTTGTCTATTTGACATATCAGTAACTGAGAAAGGTATGTTGAAATCTTCCATCCCGGTGAAGAATATGCCCATTTCATCTGTTAGTTCTATCAATTTTTGCTTTGTAAATTTTGTATCTATTTAGAATAATACAAATTTAGAATTGTTGCATCAATACATAGTGACCACTCTTATCCCTAACAATAACCTACGTTGTCTGATGTTTTCACAGCTACTCCAGATTTCTTTAGTACGTGCCTTGTATCCTTAATTCTTTTGCTTCTAACTTGCAGTATCCATACACCTTAGGTGTGTCTCACTTACATAAAGCATAGTAGATTTTTTTCTTACTCAAAACTGATCCACTGTGTATGTTCTGTAGAAAGTTTAGTTCATTGTTGTCTGTTGTAATTATCATGTATGAAAGCTTCTTCTTCCTCCTACTTTGTGCCTTATGTTTGCCCCGCTCATTCTCTATTTGATTTTTTCCCTCTGTTTGAATAAGTTGATTTGCTGTTGTTGTTTTCTTCTTCCTCTCCTTCTTCCTCCCTCTCCCTCTCCCCTTTCTTCTTCTTCTTCCATTTTTCCCTCTTCTAATTTGAAAGTCATACTCTTTTTCTTTTTTCCTAGTGGTTGCATTTGGAATTCAGACTTCCTGAACCTCACGTCTGAAGTGAATCAATGTCTTGATGTCTCTGAAACGGTCATCCCACCTCCAGACTGACTTGCTGCTGTTTCCCAGCATGCTGTTCTTTGTTTACAGTATTGTTATTATTTTATGTAGACTTTTAAAAATGTATCCACTTCTCTGAAAACTATTTTCCTTGCTATTTCTTCAACATCAGACCTTCCTTCTGGGGTTATTTCCGTTTCTGGGAGAGCATATTTTGGAGTCCTTTTGGTTAAAGTCTTTTAGTAGTAAAACCATTGTTTGTTTCTAAAGTTCTCTTCGATTCACCATTGTTTGTAAATGTTAGTTTACTAGGCTGACAATCCTGAGTCAGCTGTAAGGGTTTCGTCACACTGTCTCTGTCTTCCATTCACTGCAAACAAGTCTCCAGTAAATCTAATTTTCACTTGTAGGTGGTCTGTTTCTTCTCTTTTGCTGCTTTTAGGGTCTTATTTTTCATTGGATCTCCTGCAATTTTACTATAATCTGGCTTGGTGTGGACTTCTTTTTATTGAACCAGCTTGGGTTTATTGTGTTTTCTGTAAGTGGGGATGTGTAGTTTCATGAGTTCTGGAAAGTTCTGAGCCATTATTTCTTCAAATACGTCTCCTCTCCCATTCTCTCTATTCTGGAATTCTGGTTAGATGTACGTTGTACTTGCCCACCTCCTGCTTTGTGTTTCTTCACCTGTCCTGTATTTTCCATCTTCTTATATGTCTCTGTGTTAAATATTGGCTTATGTGGTCAGATCTGATTTTTAGTTCTTTCTTCAACTGTATTTAATAAACTTGTAGTCCATCTATTGAGTTTTTCATTTTATTAATTATAATTTTATTTGCAAAATTTGATTATTTAAAAATATCCCTGAAATTGGGGGGAGGGGATTATTTATTTATTTATTTTTAATGGAGGAACTGGGGATTGAATCCAGGACACCCCTGAGCTATACCCTCTCCTCTCCCTGAAATTTTAATTGTCCCTTGCTAGTGGTCATTTTTATTCATTCATTTCTTCAAATATAGTTATTTTATAGTCTGTGTATAAAAATTCCAATAACTGAGGTCCTTGGGGAATTTATTCTGTGGTTTATTGTATGTATTTTGTATATATTGTATGTACTTTATTGTATTTTCACTCAGAGTGGCCTTTTTTTCCATGTTTTGTAATTGATTTTGAATTTCTACTCATCTGCACATAATCTGAGGCAGTCCCAGGCATTTCTGTTGAGGATGTTTTTGTCTGAGGATTTGCTTTTTCAGGGAGCCCAAGGCACTGCCACTTGGGACTTCTACCTTCCGTCCCTACACTTCCTCCCAAGTTCAGGTTTGCTCTGCCTCCTCCTCCCATCCCGCAGGATAAATTTCACAAGAGAAGCTGAGAACATGGGAAAAGGAGCCAGCTGGTCCTTGATCAAATCTCCCCCAGAGTGTTCAGTGGTTTTAGTGGGTTTTCCAAGACTTTGCTGGAGTTGGTGCTCTGATGACTTTGTGTCTTGGCTGAAGCAGCATGATGAGTGAATTACCGTTTTCCGGAGAAAGCTACACTTTCAGGATGAGGTTGAAGGAAGGGAAAAAAATGCCATATGTATGGTGAAACACTCCTTGTGTATGATGACATATTAACAGGATGACTCATAAACTACTTTGTGTCCAGCAGTGCTCCTAAGAGAAGCCACTATCCAGTGGAAAGTCCCAAAAGTTTCAAGTGTTGATTTAAAAGAAAGATGTTCAACTTAACATTATCTAGCCCCTCAAGAGGATCTCAAAAATTTATTATAAATCAATGTAATCTAGGGGACAATATTATGGTCAATACATATTTAAATACAATCACATAAGATTTAACTATATGACAAGGGATGAAACAACCTAATTTCTTTTTATGTTGAGAAGCTTGATAGAAAGGACCATTTTTTTCCTATTTGAATAATAAACACAGTAGAGATGAGAACGTTTAGTTACAACCTTAATTTTGTTGTTGTTGTTTAAATCAGTTGTGTGTTTCTTAATGAGTCAAGTTCAGGACATAATACTGGTGAAATCAAATAAATCCACATCACTGATTGAAACCTGTGTTCTGCTCTCAGCTCTGCCACAGACTTTTTGTGTGACTTAGGAAAGTCACTTCTGCTTTCTGGATCCCAGCCTTAGGATTGCAAGATTTTTGTGATAAATATATATTGATTATTACATATAAGGAATAATAAAGATTGGTCCAAAACCTTTAATTTTGTACCTGATGAAATCCAGGCTTTGAAAAGTGTAGTGAGTGACTTGCTTAAAATTACTCAGTTAGTATGGACCAGATCACATAGAGGCTATTTTGAAGAAAGAAAGGAAGAAAGGAAGAAAGGAAGAAAGGAAGAAAGGAAAGAAAGGAAAGAAAGAA